GCACTTTATTATTCATCTTCGCAATGTTTTGTTCTGTGCGGATCCCGCACTTCCAATATTCAATTGTTTTCTTCGCCTTCTTTTTGAACGTCGTACAATGCTTTTAAACCGCGTCTTTTTGTAGTCTCGATGGCAGCCTGGCTATGCCATTTCATAAGACGTGCGTTCTTGACTGCGGGAGAGCGCTGGAGCTAGGCTCGGCTCCACGCGCGCTGCGATGAGCATCACTTCCACTTGACTACGTCTTCCATAAATACGGATAAGCACGTAAACGCATATATATATATATATATATATATATATATATATATATATAATGTGCAAAAGTCGTCTGGAAACGGCATCGAAAAAATTACATTTAACTGTGGAATCCAAGGATGACCAGTTCTATGAGCGCGATATTGATTTATCGTCTGTGAAATAGCAGATTGTTCACGTAGATGGCGTATACTTCAAACAGTGTTGTCGAGCAATTTTGATTACTGTTGGTTAATAAATTTGGTATTAATTGCAATAGTGCTAGAACATATGAGATGACCTATATCACTATATATATATATATATATATATATATATATATATATATATATATATATATAACACCTGTATCACCCGTCGTCTCGTTGATCGTCGAGTGACTCGAACGGGTACCAGTAAGTCTTCCACTTTTCCCTATCGCGTACAAGAGTAGCCCAGTGGGTCCTCCTCACTCTAGGGATTCGCTAAGCATCATATCTTTCTTCTATCGCTTTCGTGAAGAAATCGGACCACCGGGTCAGTGGTCTTTATTTAGAGCGCTTGACGTCCCGAGGAATCCAGTCGGAACGGCTCTCGTCCATCGGATGTCGTTGAAGCGCATCACGTGTCCGGCCTACCTTATTTTCGATATCCTGGCATGTAGAATGGCGTCACTGATTTTCTATCGTTGACGTGGGTAACTTCGGGTCCTCTCTCCTATTTGCGAGATATGGGATACTCCTAACATCGACCTTTCGACTGCGCGTTCGATAACGCCAAGTGATCATTCATCCTGCTTACGTAGCGACCAGGTTTCTGCTGCATACGTTAGAGCAGGGATAATTGTCGAGTCGAAAAGGTGGACACGGAGTCGGATGTTCTTTGTCCTCTTCACTACATCTTCGATGCTCTCAAATGTTCCCCAAGCCGCTCGTTTCCTCCTGCTCAACTCTGGAGCTAGGTCGTTCATCATGTTGATTTCACGACCTAGATAGACGTAACTGGAGCATTCGGAGATTGTCGTTCCGTTGAGCGTAAATGGGGCATTAGAAACCCATCCGTTCCTCATGAACATTGTTTTATATATATATATATATATATATATATATATATATATATATATATATATATATATATATATATATATATATATATATATATATATATATATATATAGCTTTATGTATTTATTTGTATTTTTTATATTTATATTTATTTATACATATTTATTTATATTAATGTATATATACATATATGATGCTCTATGTTTTGGGAAAAGGGCAGAAATTGGAATCAAGAAGCAGCTGATTGCTCGCATGGGAACACAAAGTTCAAAGACGTGCACTATGAAAATATTAACTATGTCCCACGGAGTCCCAAAACACTGAATCTGTTATTACGATGACATTCAAGCTCAAATAAAGTTTCTGAAAACTTACGGTAACCACAAGAACTGTGAGATAGCATGACAAGAAAAACCTGAATGAACAACTCACTAAAGGAAATTAATTACGTGAAAGCTCTGTGATGAAAATGCTAAGCCGTCGAATTTTCTTGAAACAAATTGTTAGACAATCCAAACGGAAGCGAACTAAGAAAAGTAGGCAGAGGCATAATTTAGTAATGACTTATGAATGATAATGTACTATAAAGCGGGAAAAACTTGACTCTAACACCAACAAACCCTCGCCCACAGCGCATTTGGGAAGGGTGTAGATATTTTTTCGTTGAAAGAGCTTCAACAATTAGCATCAGCCTCTTCTTTTTTCAAAATTTGTTCGACGTTGTACAACAAACCGATTTCCATTTCAAAACTACAATCTACTTATCAAAATGTTCCGTCATCACAACTGCAAGAATTTCAACCTTCTTTACATTAGACTCGACTCCTTCTATTGATTTATGCCCATGGAAATGTGCTTGAGATCGCATGTCACTAGAGAGTAGCAATCTTTCCTAAGAGCACCGTGCTTATTGAGCAGATTTTCACTGACGCCCTGCATTGACCATGCTGGAACGTTTAATAAACTACAGAACCCGATGTTTCATCAAAGTGATGGACCGCACAAAACCGAGCAAGTTCGCTACCATCTCTCTAGAATTAGAGGCCTAATTCACGCGAACCTGGACTGAAGTAGTGACCATCTCTGATCCATTTTCGTATAACATTCATTCAAAAACCTGTAACCATTCAGTCTTGAAGCTGTGAAACATCTATAAAAACCTATTCAGATCATAAATCTGACCATAATTCTTTGTTATT